TTTCACGTCGCAGCAGCGTGATTCAGAAAAGCGAATGAAGACGCCTACACGAAATGGCACCTACTGTAGACACTGTTTAGGTGAGCTGTGCGTGAATTGATAGGCGAGTTGATAGTCCAGAATGTGGAGAGCTACGCTTTTAACTGTAGTTTACAGGGCAGTACTCCCTGGAAGTAAAAAGGTGGGGGGTTTGATTGTCAATGTAGAAATTGTGGAGGGCAACATATGTAACGCTATGAGGCAGGTTGTAATAGGATAAAAGCGTGGAGATTTCAGAAGTGAAGGTTGTAAATAATGTCTCTTATGCAAGAACAGCGAGAAAAGTTCACAAAATCAAACCCAGACGAATGAGACCAGAGTGGATGCTAGAGATAGACGCAGATGTGATTGAGGGGTATATGGTGTCGTGATAATTGATGGGTTTCTCGACTACATATGCCATAATGTGTGGCCGAAATCCAGGCAAAGCATAAAATGATCAAAATAACGAACTATTGTGAAGGGAGCAAAAGTACCTTCGGGTATGAGAGGTGTTTCCTCCTGGGAACAGGTGGACAAAAGGTTGGAGGAGGAAAGAAGTGGGTGTGGGAGGGAGGGAGAATAAAAGTAGTAAATGAGAATCATTCCATGAACGCAAGGATTTATGGCTAATGTACAGGAATTAAAAGGTTATGTGCAGAACAAGGAGAGGAGACCTATATTAAAAGTGTTCAGGAAACAGGCTTATGGTGCATTCAGGACCGCAAACGCTCCAACACGCTGAAGCCCCCCGTCTGGACAAAGGAAGTTGTGTTAGTGAACAGTTGATAAAAGACCTCGCAGACTCGTTTCACGTCAGGCATAAAACATTAGATGAAGGAATAACATCGTGGCCAGCAATGAACTCCTCTCTGACTCCGGATGGATTTCCTCTGTGTACGGAGGTCTGAGGCGCCGCAATTTCGGTTTAATTGGATGAATAATAAAACTGCCTGCTTTTGACCGCTCAATTGCATAAATAATTGTCCCTCTCAGGTCATCATTGTTTTTTTCTCCTGCAGTGTCCTTCTCTCCCACTCGTATCTCAATTCCCTCTGCCAAGGCCATATAACAAGGTCCCCCAATCTACAACAACCTCACACTTCTCAGTCTCCAGCACGGACCGCCCCCCCGCCTCCTCTACCTATCCATCTCTCCTTCCCTCCCTCCACTCCACATGTCTTTCCTTTCCGCTCACCCCCTCCCCCTGATCATGCCCTCCCTCTGACAGCCACAATGAGCCGCAGTGGCGGAGGTGCTCATTCCCGAAAAAAAATCCCCCGTGGTTTATAACAAAGCCACAATGTGTCCTATCCAGCGTCCGTGCCGTGAATGCACTATGGGATTTTACGTCAATTTAGAATATTATAGTCTCTCTCCGCTGTCACTTTCCACCTCAAAAATTGACATCTCACCTCCTTCATACTGTTTCTCATTCAATGTCTTGAAGCACGTCAGGCTCATACCGTTACTTTCAAGCTCTATTCATTTTGTACTCCTCTTCATTCAAAACTCTTTCTCTCTCTCAATTATAAAAAAAAAAAAACTCAAGTCTCTTTAGAGTCTAATGACAACAGAATGATACATTTTAATAAGGCCGGAAAAAACCCCCGGAAAGGTTACTATGACAACATTCGCCCCTGCCGCATGTCTCCCTATGGGGCAGCAGAAAGGGCTGGTGTTTAGATAAAGCTAAAATGCTGTAAATCTTTTTCTTTAACTGTTTTCCAAACCAAAACACACCAAAATATAAACAACATACCACCCATAAAGTCATGAAATATCAACTTCTTCTGGCGTTTTGTTTGATACACTAATTACATTTAAAGTGAGTGACGGTCTGTTGACCGCTAGGGCTGCTCCTATGTTAATGGCGAAGGGCACGCTATCTGCAAAACAATTTCCAATGGTAACGTGGTTTTTACTTACATAGGCAATAAAAACTAAAAGTGCAATGCTGAAGCCATTGCGAATTGACTGCGGAAACAGATCTAATTGGAAATCTGCTAAAAAAAATCTTGAAATACTTTAAAAGCCTTGAAAACTGTTAAAAACTTGATAATAATTTGAAACTCCTGAAGCCTTGAAATTGTTGAAACCTTTAAGACTCCAGAAATCCTTGAAACTGGTTTAAACGATTTGAACCTCCTGAAATCCTTGAAACTTTTTTTAAACCTGGAAACTTTTGAAATGTGGAAACTCCTGAATCCTAGAACCTCCTGATATCCTTGAAACTGGTTAAATTCTTAAACAGTTGAAATCCTTGAATCTAACTGATGTATTGAAATGTCCTTGAAACTGAAAAATCCCCTCACCCGCTGAAACAATTTGGTTCCTGTAACTAAGGAATACCTGGTCTTGGTCATTAACTGGTGGTGTCTGAGTCTCGTTTTGGTCTTTCTGTGGTATAAGCAAACCTAATAGTGCATTATAACCTCCAACCAAGACCCAAACGAAGACTCAGACCACCACCAGATAATGACCACAAGACCAGGTTTCCTTAGTTACAGAACCAAATTGTTTCGCGTAGGGATTTTTCAGTTTCAAGACACTTCAAAAACATTCATATTTCAAGATTCAACTGTTAAGAATTGAACCATTTCAGATATCAGAGTTCAAGGATTCAATGTCCACACTTTCAACATTCCAGGTTTAAAAAAAAGGTTCAAGGATTTCATGAGTTTCAATGTTTCAACAGTTCAAGGATTTCAGAAGTTTAAAGGTTTCAACAATTTCAAGGACTTCAGGATTTCTAATATCTATCAAGTATTTTAACTTTTCAAGGCTCTTTTAAAGGATTCAAGGATTTTTTTTAGCAGATTTCTCACATTAGATCTGTTCCGCATCAAACGCAATGGCTTCAGCCATTGCAAGTTTCTAGTTTTTATTGCCATGTAAGTAACAAACAGAAGTTACCACTTGGAATTGTTTTGCCAGATAGCGAGCCACTATCGCCATTAACACGAGGAGCGTAGCCCCTAGCAGGATCAACTGACCGTCACTCACTTTAATATGCTATTAGTGGAATCAAAACAAAACGCCAGAGTTTGAAATTTCATGACTTTTACTTTACTTGTTGTTTATATTTTGGTGTGTTTGGGTTTGGAAAAAGTAAAGAAAACAAGATTTTACGACGCATTTTACTTTCTAAACCACAGCCCTATCTGCTGCCCCATAGGGATACATGGCCAGGGGCACTGTTGTCATAGTAACCTTTCCCGGGTTTTTTCGCGCCTTATAAAATGTAGCAATATTTTCATTAGACCCTAAAGAGACTTGAGTTTTTTTTTTTTTTTATTTGAGAGAAGAAAGTGTTTTGAATGAGAGGAGTACAAAAGAATAGAGCTGAAGTACACGGTATGAAGCCCTGACAGAGCTTCAAGACATTGAAATGAGAAACTGTCTGACGAGGTGAGATGTCACATTTTGAGGTGAAATGGACCAGCGGAGAGACACCTATAATTATCTAAATCTGAACGTAACCCATAGTGCATTCACGGCACGACAGCTGGATAGACACATTGTGCTTTGTATAAACCACGGATTTTTTTCTCGGGATGAGCACCTCCGACTGCCGGCGTCAATGTGGCTGTCAGAGGAGGCAGGATCAGAGGGGTAGCCCCGAAAGACAATGAGGAGTGTGGGAGGGAAGGAGAAGATGGATAGGTAGAGGGAGGCGGGGACGGATTCCGAGCTGGAGACTAAAGTGTGAGGTTGTTGTAAGATTGGGGCCTTGTATATGCCTTGGCAGAGAATTGAATACGAGTGGAAAGAAGACACAGCATGAGAAAAACCACATCGCCTGAAGGACAATATATATGCAATTGAGGCGTCAAAAGCAGGCAGATTAATATTATCCATCCAATTAAACCGAATTGCGCTCCCTCAGGACCTCCGTACACAAGTGGCAAATCCTTGCCGTCAAAGAGTTCATTGCTGGCACACGATGTTATTCACTCTCCCTCCAATGTTTTATGCCCTTCGGTAACGAGTTGCGAGGTCATTTATCCAACTGTCCCTAACACAACTCTCCTTTGTCCAACGGGCTTCAGCGTTTGAGCGGTTTGCGTCTGAATGCACCATAAGCCATGTTTGCCTGAACACATATATATCCGTCTCCTCTCCTTGTACGCATCATAACCTTTTAATTCCTGTCCATTACCACTAAACTCCTTTTCTGCCATTGAATATCTCATACTACTCTCTCACTCCCACTCCCACTCCCACTCCCTCTCGCCTCTCCCAACCTTTTGTCCACCCTTGATCCCAGGAAAACACCTCTCATACCCGAGGTACTTTTCCGCTCACCTTCCCAATAGTCGTAAATTTTGATCTGTTTATGCTTGCTGATGCGCAACAATTTATGACATATCTAGAAACACCATCAAATTATCACGCACCAATTACCCTCAATCACACTCTGCTCCTTTCCTCTAGCATCACTCGTCTCCATTCGCTCCTGTTTTTGATATTGAACTTTCCTCACTGCTTCTGCATAAGAGACATATTCACAACCTTCCCACTCTCTGAATCTCCACGCTTTTTTCCTCACTTCACACCGCCATAGTTACATCATGTTCCCTCCACAGTTTCAACCTTTTAAAACTCAAACACCCCACCTTTACTTTTTCCAGGAGTACTGCACCTGAAAACTACAGTAAAAGCTATAAGCTCTCCACATCGACAATCAACTCGCCTCATCTTATCCACTCACAGCTCCACCTAAACATGTCTACAGTAGGTCCCATTTCGTTTGTCGTATTCATTCACTGCTTTTCATGAATCACGCATCTGCGAGAAACATAATAACATCCAACGCCACAGGGGCAGGTTAAGTCCCTTAGCTCTGCCACGACTGAAACGCTCAGGCAAGGGCGTAGGTTTGCGTGGGAACCATGGGGACATGTCCCCACCAATATTTGGAGACGAAAAAGTCCCCACCAAAATGACATGATGTTCCGTGACCCGACTGAGACCCTTTTTCACGCCACGCCCCTTCTCGCCATCTCCGCCTTCTCGGAGAAACACTCCGTTTCCCCCCCCCCCCCCCCCCCCCCCCCCCCCCCCCCCCCCCCCCACCCCCCCCCCCCCCCCCCCCCCCCCCCCCCCCCCCCCCCCCCCCCCCCCCCCCCCCCCCCCCCCCCCCCCCCCCCCCTCGCGGTAACACCAATGACAGGAATCATACTTTCAGAAACTAGTGAAATATCTCAATAATCTTCTCTTTTTTCAGAATGACCTTCGGGCCTAGGAGGGAGCACTCCGGTATGGTCACAATTAGGAATATTTTCTCCCTACAAGGTTTGTATTAGTATATTGGGGTTGTCATACTAAAGCTAAGTTAGCATCCAGTTACCTGCACGGCTGTTATTTCTGAACACAATCTTAGTTTAAATAATAGTATTGCTTAATAAGTTCAAGACTAAAGTGTATCTACATTAGTATTATGGTTGGTTTTTCTTGTCTTTTTTTACTAGAATGGCATCCAGAAAATCTTGCTGTGTCCTCTTTGTTCATCTAACAAGAGAACACATCCTTACATAAGTTTCCACGAGTTCCCCATGGATGATTGTAACTGCCAAATGGATCTGGACCATTCGAGAGATGAGGGTCAAATTTTAAGTGGAAAATGGCCCAGTGCTGTCTGCAGTTTAATTTCGGCCAATGACCTCTACACATCCAAAGGAGGATTGAGGAAGTCACAGTAATTCTGTGCCATCCAAATTGGTTTGGAATAAATGGTAAGTGTGGTGTGTCTGTGTGTGTGTTTGGTCGGTGTCCTAATGGCAGCAAAAGTGATACTGAATAACTATTGTCTTATCTCATATAATTAGGTGACGTTCACTTGGCCTAAATGTTTTTTCCACATAATCATCTTAACAGTTTGTAAACATAATGCAATTATATATGTTGTTTTAAAGGAAAAGAATAAAGAAAGCAACAAGGCACCGATGGTTTAAGTTAATGAAGGGATGCGAAGATCTTTCCAAGACTTAGAGAGAGATGGTGGCTCCACACAAGGAAAAGTAGCCAAGGCTGTTTTCAGACCATGAATACACAAAGCATCCTTCCTCTGGTGAGTATTCATACGGCAACGTACACTTAAGAGCAAGTTTAAAAAGTTTGTCACCTGGACTCTGATTAATTGGTTTGAGAACAGGAAATGTAGCAAGCTTAATCCTGTCCAAAGGAGATGTAAACTTTGAACAGCTGTCCAGATGACTAATTGATAATGGATGACTATGTGTGAGCAAAGCTTATGATGAATGGGGTTTATAACGCTTATATATTTGTTATTCTTTTCTAGATCAAGTAACAGGGCTGCAATGCAATTAGGATTTGGAGCAGAAGGTGTTATGTCTGGAGCGGAAACTACATTAACTAACATGTTTAAGACGACTGCCTCTTATATACAAATTTTGTGTAACAGATAGGAATTTCGCTAGTTAGTGTCGTTTTCTTCTATAGAGTTTTTGAGATATTTTGGGAGTCTATTCAGCCCTTCTGCATCCAATCTGTTTATTGAGTAAGGCACAGGCAATGTGCAGTAGTTGAAAACCAAGCCCTATGAAAAGCGTCCCCTCATTGATGAATATTTTTTTTTCGAGCCATGGCAAAGGACAACAATCAAGACAGACTAGAAGGTGCAAATATACAGTTTTTTTTTTATTAACACAATCCAGTCAAAAGGATGTGAAGAAGTTAAGACTTTTTTAACTACCACTCCTCGTTATTATGCTAAATGAACTAACTTCAATGATTGGATGCTACAGATTTGGGTTATGCCGTGGTATTTTTTACAATACATGCACTTGATTTGTAACAGTGTAAGTCAAATATGTTTATATATTAAAAGTTTCCTTAATTTCCTTATACTCCTTTCAAATCATCTTACTCAGCCTAACTTTATCATAGATTTTTATCCTTATAAGATTTATAATAATTTTCCTTTTATCATGTTACATTAAGAGTATGTTTAATTAATATATATATATTTATATAATTGTTTATACATGTAATTACTGGTAATATAAATGGTATATATATGTAGGTTATACTTTTATTCACGCTTGTTCAGCATTGCATGTTATTCACATCAAAACTCACCAAGATAGCTTTGTAAAGATGCTTTGGACACCACTTCTACAACCTTGTCTTCATTGTGGATTTTTTTATTTTACCACACCATATCAGTGTACCTCTGTGCTCTCCCCTAGAAAATATAATAACAATTTCCAGATGAGCTCCACTTTGACATCAAGTCTACCTGTGTCCTAGGCCATGCCATGGATTGCAAGGGACTTGTCAGATAGAGTAAGGGCAACAGTTTAAAGCCCATGTACGATAGTGAGCCATTTGGTATAGAAAGCCTCCAGTGATTGCAACAATGCCCTTCCAGCGCCCCCCCGCAACACACTTGGAATTTTTCCTCTTCACAGTTGGGATATTACATGAAAGGAAGTTACTGTGAAGTGAAAACAAATTTGACTTGAGTAATAGGCAACAATTGCAAATTTACTGACCCTCACTTCAAAGAAACCTATTTAGCTACACTCAAAGTAAACCTGAAGATGATAAGCTTCCTCTTTTTCTTCATTGACCTTGACATCTCCCCTCACGTAACCTCACCCTGAACTTACATTAGATACAGATAAAATAATCTGTTAGAAAGGTAGAATTTCGCATGCCAAATATATGTATGAGTAAACATTTTTCCTAGCCTTTTCTCAATATATTATCCCAATCTAAAATTACACTCACCCCTGAAGTTTGAAAATTAAATCCTTCATTAAAGAATGTTAGCTTTGTCCGTTTAGAACAATTGGTCAATGAATAGTTGTCCACAATCCTCTTGACATCAGCAAATGTATTTGAGGAAGATTCAAAAGTGATATTGAATCCAGCTTAAATTCTCACGCTGCAAACTAAAAAAAAAGCAGAATGATTAGTTATAAGAAACAACTGTCTCAGAAATAACATACACAATGTAGTACTCTGTTTTAACTGTCTAACACTACGAATTGTTATATAATGCATTTCAAGAGCACAAAGAAACACCGGCAGAACTGATGCAACTTAGCCTTTAGCTTGACAAACCACCATTTGACTAAAATGGCTGAAGCCATTGCGATTGACTGCGGAACAGATCTAATGTGGAAATCTGCTAAAAAAAATCCTTGAAATCCTTTAAAAGGCCTTGAAACTGTTAAAATACTTGATAGATATTTGAAACTCCTGAAGTCCTTGAAATTGTTGAAACCTTTAAACTCCTGAAATCCTTGAAACTGTTGAAACATTGAAACTCCTGAAATCCTTGAAACTTTTTTTAAACCTGGAACTGTTGAAAGTGTGGAAACTCCTGAAATCCTTGAACCTCCTGATATCCTTGAAACTGGTTAAATTCTTAAACAGTTGAAATCCTTGAAACTACTGAATGTATTGAAAGTGTCCTTGAAACTGAAAAATCCCCTCACCGATGAAACAATTTGGTTCCTGTAACTAAGGAAACCTGGTCTGTGGTCATTATCTGGTGGTGGTCTGAGTCTTCATGTTTGGGTCTATGTGTTCAGGTGGAATAATGCAACCTATTAGGTTGCATTATACTGGTTTACATGGAAAAATCCCTATTAGGTTTTCATTATACTGGTTTACATGGAAAAATCCCTATTAGGTTGCATTAATACTGGTTTACATGGAAAAAATCCCCTATTAAGATGCAATATACAGGTTTACATGGAAAACTCTCTATTAAGTTGCATTATACTGGTTTACATGGAAAAATCCCTATAAGGTTGCATTATACTGGTTTACATGTACAAATCCCAATTAAAGTTTGCTTTATACTGGTTTACATGTAAAAACCCCTATTAGGTTACATATATAGTGGTTTACATAGTAAAAATCCTTATTAAGTTGCATTATACTGGTTTACATGTAAAAACCCCTATTAAGTTCCATTATACTGGTTTACATGTAAAAACCCCTATTAAGTTCCATTATACTGGTTTACATGTAAAAACCCTATTAAGTTGCATTATACTGGTTTACATGGAAAAATCCCTATTAAGTTGCATAATACTGGTTTACATGGAAAAATCCCCATTAAGTTGCATTATACTGGTTACATGAAAAACCCTATTAAGTTGCATTATACTGGTTTACATGGAAAAATCCCTATTAAGTTGCATTATACTGGTTTACATGGAAAAATCCCTATTAAGTTGCATTATACTGGTTTACATGAAAAAACCCTATTAAGTTGCATTATACTGGTTTACATGGAAAAATCCCTATTAAGTTGCATTATACTGGTTTACATGGAAAAATCCCTATTAAGTTGCATTATACTGGTTTACATGTAAAAAACCCTATTAAGTTGCATTATACTGGTTTACATGGAAAAATCCCTATTAAGTTGCATTATACTGGTTTACATGGAAAAAACCCTATTAAGTTGCATTATACTGGTTTACATGGAAAAATCCCTATTAAGTTGCATTATACTGGTTTACATGGAAAAATCCCTATTAAGTTGCATTATACTGGTTTACATGGAAAAATCCCTATTAAGTTGCATTATACTGGTTTACATGGAAAAATCCCTATTAAGTTGCATTATACTGGTTTACATGTACAAATCCCTATTAAGTTGCATTATACTGGTTTACATGTAAAAACCCCTATTAAGTTGCATTATACTGGTTTACATGAAAAATCCCTATTAAGTTGCATTATACTGGTTTACATGTAAAAACCCTATTAAGTTGCATTATACTGGTTTACATGTAAAAACCCCTATTAAGTTCCATTATACTGGTTTACATGTAAAAACCCTATTAAGTTGCATTATACTGGTTTACATGAAAAAACCCTATTAAGTTGCATTATACTGGTTTACATGGAAAAATCCCTATTAAGTTGCATAATACTGGTTTACATGGAAAAATCCCCATTAAGTTGCATTATACTGGTTTACATGGAAAAAACCCTATTAAGTTGCATTATACTGGTTTACATGGAAAAATCCCTATTAAGTTGCATTATACTGGTTTACATGGAAAAATCCCCATTAAGTTGCATTATACTGGTTTACATGGAAAAATCCCCATTAAGTTGCATTATACTGGTTTACATGGAAAAATCCCTATTAAGTTGCATTATACTGGTTTACATGGAAAAAACCCTATTAAGTTGCATTATACTGGTTTACATGGAAAAAACCCTATTAAGTTGCATTATACTGGTTTACATGTAAAAACCCCTATTAAGTTGCATTATACTGGTTTACATGGAAAAATCCCCATTAAGTTGCATTATACTGGTTTACATGAAAAAAAACCCTATTAAGTTGCATTATACTGGTTTACATGAAAAAACCCTATTAAGTTGCATTATACTGGTTTACATGGAAAAATCCCTATTAAGTTGCATTATACTGGTTTACATGGAAAAATCCCTATTAGGTTGCATGATTACACTGAAGTCCTTGAAACTGCTGAAGTCCTTGAAACTGCTGAAGTCCTTGAAACTGCTGAAGTCCTTGAAACTGTTGAAGTCCTTGAAACTCTTGAAATCTTGAAACTGCTGAAATCCTTGAAACTGTTGAATCCTTGAAACTGTTGAATCATTGAAACTGTAGAAATGTCTGAAAGAGCTGAAGTCCTATTAAAATGCATGGGCCTATTAAAATGCATTGCAGAATTCTCAATGCAGATTTTTGTCCGATTGCGGAAAAACCGGAAATCGCTGAAGTCCCAAAAGTAATAGCAATAATCTCCCAAACATGTGGAACGTTTTGATGTATAACTTGTGGAAATTGTTGAAAATGTGAAAGCTGTGAAACGTGTCAAAAAAAATGACGGAATAAAGAAATACAAAACCAATGGTTGACTGCGGAAAGTTCCGCAGTCAATCAAAAATGACGGAATAAAGAAATACAAAACCAATGGTTGACTGCGGAAAGTTCCGCAGTCAATCAATAATTCAACTCCTCCCTCTGGTGGAAGCACAGGGAGTTACAGGCTAATATCCTTGTTTTACTTAATGGACCATATTTTCCCTTCTCAAGACATTATTTCACATTCTAAAACATGAAAAGGGTTAGAAAAGTGGCTAAAATAGTGCGTCATATTTTTCTGTAATCTAAATTATGGTAACGCAGTAGAAGTTTCTCACTTGGCTAAGGGTCGGCGAGCACGATTAACAGCATCCAGGTCAGCGTAGCGCAGATCCAGCTGGCAGCCAACCAGGATGATGGGCGTCCGAGGACAGAAGTGCTTGATCTCCGGAAACCACATGGTCCGGACATGGCGCAGAGAGTTTGGGTTTGCCAGGGAAAAACAGAGCACCACCACGTCTGACCTACGCACACACAACACAACAGTAGATGTGACACCAGGCGACTTCTCTGACAATGTTAAATTACAGATTAAAAACACTTCTGTTTAGCTGTGCACACAACTGAGGGACTTTATAATTGTATCTTTCTTTTAGATGTACTGTGATTATTTATGATTGTAAAGCTTTCTGTGATTATCTTGTTTTGTTCAGCACTTTGAGTTGCCTTGTGTATGAATTGTGCGTTACAAATAAGCAGTGATGGGCAGTAGCGACGCTACTTGTAGCGTCGCCCACTGCCCATTCGCCCGTTCGCTACTTGTAGCGTCGCTACAAGCTTAACTACATTTTTCAGTAGCTTGACAGTAGCGTCACTATTTACAAAACCTAGTAACTTTTCTGTAGCTAAGCTATATTATTGCTCAAGTAGCGCGGTAGCGTCCGCCAAAGCTATTTTCTCACGGACATCTCTGATGTTCATATATTACAGCATTTTCCCGCAGCATAAAACAAACATATAAGAAAGACAGAATGCTGATGCGCATGCGCAGGGCTTGGTAACGACACACACACACACGAACGTACGCGCACACACACACACACACATGCGCGCGCGCTACTGGGGGAAGCAAAAGCATGGCAGGGAGCCCAGGAGCCGCCGCGGTGGAGGAGGACCATGATACTCTCAAAGTGTTGTACCGTGGCCATACCTCCAAAAGTACGTCACTCTAGTCCAGATGAGCGAAAAGAAATATGTTTTCAGATGCCTACTCTTGTTGTTTTTGGTGTTTTGGGCTATTGTTCAATAAATATCTACAGCATTTTAACCTTTATCTGACTGACAGTTTATCTCAAATAAGAAGATAAGCTTTATTAATCTCACACAGGAGACATTTACATGTCACATTTGGCATGGATAAAACACTCAAGAATTGTGCAAAAAATAAGAAATGAGCAAACATGTTAATGCAGGAAAATATAAAATTGCATGAACTGCAGTTTGTTTAATTGAAAATAGCTTCTATATAGCAAGCTACTTTTGACAGAATTTTGTAACTTAGCTTGCTACATTTGTATGGGTGGTAGCTTCTGTGTAGTGAAGCTGAATTTATTGTAGAGTAGCTTGTAGCTTAGCTCACTACACAAATCAAGTAGCTTGCCCATCACTGCAAATAAGCTTGCCTTATATATTGAATACATACTAACATTGCAAAGGTAATAATTAGGTAAGGAGTAAAATAAGTAATAATGGCCCTTTGACATAAAAAATCTGATTTAAACCTTTGAAATCTAGATAATTAGACAAGTGCAAATCAGGACATTAAAGATGATTTCAGTGACTTAAATTATATTTCATTTTTAAAGCTTTAACAAAAGCTATATATGTTTGTATATATGTTGTAAAGCAGTGTAGTATTTGCAAGACTGTATAACATGATTTTCATTATGCACAGTGCAGTCCTGAAGGCAAGTGTCAGAGAGCAACAGTGCAGAGAGCCAAATGTGTGAGGGTGCATTGGACTTGGCTCTGTGTCTATGTGCACATGTCTGGACCTCCAGGCTACTGATTTGTGTGACCTATTTTTTCTTACATAACACATATAAGCCCTCTCAGGCTATAGTCACACAGAGATGGCTAAGAATAGATCAAAGATGTAATTTGTTTATATATATCGGTTTGGGAGTAACAGCACCAAGCACTGTCTACTACGTGACAATTGTGTGCAGTTTTTCACGGCTATGGTTGATAAGTACGTGTCAATATCAGTTCATCCAGGGTTAGAGAACCTGCTAAATCAGCTGCACTGTACAGTTAAGGGACTTTTGACCTCAAAGAATACACAATATATCAATCTATTTATCTTTTAAATACTAAAAGATAGCTGTTATAATATCATCAATGATAAAAATCATCAGTAACCAAATTATTGTAAACAAGGCAGAAAATGTAATATTATTATTTTTATTTTTTTTTCTTTGAAAACGATTATTATTTAGATGTGCTATACTTTTCATGTGCATTCATTTCATGTGCACTCAAAAAGGGAGTGCACTCATCCCTTTTAATATTGATATAATGTTGATTAAATAATGTGTTAATGTTTGACCACTTGCTTTGTGTTTTTTGTGACCAATTTAGTAGTAGATTATGTAAGATCCTCTACTAATCTTACAAATATAATATATAATTTTATATACATATATATATATATATATATATATATATATATATATATATATATATATTCTTTTTTTTTTTTTTTTTTTTCCTATTTCAGACATTTTAATCTCCTGACAAAGCATGTGACATTTGTGTTATGCCACAATGTGAGGTTTTGAGTTTTGATACACACAACACAACAAGATTAAATGTTGTGTTTAGTGTGGTATGGGGTAACAATGTGTAACAAAGGGCATTGGGCAGGCTGCAGAGGTCAGGCGGGGTGGCAGAACCAGCCCCTGGAGAAAAAGAGGACAAATGTAGCAGTAATACAACAGCGGGAGAGGGTCACTGCTGCAAACTGCTGAGCTGGCATCTGTCTGCATCAGCTGACAGCAGTCTGAGCGAGTGCTGTTAAACGGAGGAGTGTACTATTGCACGAGGCTCATGTGGAGGGCAAACAACAGGATGCAATTACGCAAACACTCAATACACAATGGAACATAGCTTTTTATAGAACACTGTATCAAATGAAGTAAAGCCATTTTTATTCAAAGTGTACAATGTGTAGTTGTGCTGATGATTCTTTACACAAAGCTGGGATCCTTAACTTCTTCGCCCAATAAATAATACATTTTGTTTGTCGCAACAGAATGAGTATTGTAAAATTAAAAATATGAACAGAACAGACGACATATGCTGCCTTCAACTTATAAGAAAATGTGTTTTCTTTTTGCAAGATAACTGACAGTTTGGGCTGAGAGCTGTTGAGTAAGATTTGTCCTCTCTTTTTCACTTTTCTAGTTATTTTTATGAAGTTGTTTTTATGAAGTTATGATGTTATTAAAAAATATCATTTACAGCCATTGTGACTGTTATCTTTTTTTAATGAATAATGCCTATAAAAGAAAATATTAGTAAATCTAGTGTTTTACTGACATTGTTTTTTTAAACATTTTGTGCCACAGATGCCAAATATCAATCATTTCCGGTCTGACTAGTCATCACAGATTTTGTTTTTTTGAGAGAGAGACAAAAAAGCTTAATCACCAGCCAATGATGCAGCTTTGACAGAGGATGTGAAGTAAGAGGATAGAGCGATGATCCAATCATGTTTGAAGGAGCATGCATGTAACAGGAGCGGCCAGGGGTCAGCGGAGAGCGTGGCAGCTGGATTACACTACAATTTGGGGATGATCCACAATTCATGCTCTTTCCTTTTAGTTTTTTCCATTCTGCTGCTATAGCTTAACTACATGTTTATGTTAACTATTCATCAGTAGCAATGTACAAATATTCTTACAAATAATGTTTTTTATAACCCATTCAAAGCAATTTCGTTTCATGTTTGTATTAATAAACGTTTTCTGTTGTCTACACTGGACTTCATTGCAATTGTATTACATTGCATTGCTTACAATTTTTAGTTAATATTCAAATACACATTTTTTAAAAATATTATTTTATAGCTTTTTTATTTTACTTTCCGAGAATTATGAAGCTGAAATTTAAGGAAATACATTTGCTTACCTGCCGTACGCAAATCTTCTGTCTTTGTGGTGATCCCCAAAGGTGTCCCAAAGCCGCAGAGACACACTGACCTCATCCACAACGTCACGGGATCGTTCTAGCACCTACAATCCACATCCGTCGCAACGTGTCATACGCCGATCTTTTTTATCCTTTTTGAGAATAGATCCAAAAAAGAGCACTCACCTCCTGGCATACGCGGTATTGGTCAATGGCCCAGACAGTTGGCACGTGGGTGGCAAGCAGCTGATACTGAGTGAGGGTGGCATTGCAGGCCCGTGCGCAGATGAGCCTGGTCTTACCCACTGCGTTATCCCCGACCACCACACATTTAATGGTTTCCACATTGGGCCGCTCATAGTCTGTGTCTATATCCATGGAGAGGGCCCTGGAACAGAAAAGAGTTGCCGCTATTATTCAACAACGTAAACATAAAATAATTCTGTTATTTGTTTGTGTTATTATGAATTCACTGTGATTCAATATCGAAATGAAGCACTTTAGTGGACTTTAAGCACCGGTATAAGTCTCGATGTTTAAAATTCTGCACATTCATGCATTCAGCCGACACACAGTGGTTATTGCCACAGCTGCCCTTAGGTACACTGATCCTGGCTTCTCAGACCATCACCTGAGTCATAATAGGCTATAAGGGTGATTTGTCTAAGGACACAATTAGCACTTTTAAGATATAGCAGCCCCACTATGATCCATATTCTTTCAGTTGAGCTGATCAACCACAGATTAGGATTAAAGCTGTGGTACCTAACTTTTCTTTTCTCTGTAGTTTGTTCCAGAAAACAACAGACCAAGACATGCGGTCTCCATATTTTACTTACTTTACCCACTAATTGGCACTTTGTGGTCTTTTAAAAAAAAATAAAGTCTAAGAAAATGTCTGAAGTGTGACAAAGGCCAAAAATACAACAACAGCTAATAATAGAACCTATTTGTTTTGAGGGCGAGAGTTATATTTGTTTGTGGTTTGAATGTCCGAAAATCAAGTTTGTAAGGATAATCATTTAAACACGTCTTATCTTAGGTGATAGGACAAACAATATGCAAAAACAACATTCAGGAGACAATAAATAAGCATGCCAATGAAATTCATTCAAGCTAACATCCATGCATTTAGTCATTAGAGGCTGCAACTTAGACCACCTCAACATGCAAGCCTTGGCTAAGGACATTGGCAATTCGGTTCAGAGCTCAACTAACTTCCTCTTAAAGCCACACATAACTGTGAAAAAGCTTATCAAAATCTCCTTTCCATAAACAGCTTACAACGATTTCTGGCATATCCAAACATGATTACACTTTTTTTTACATTCCTGGAAGTATCATGTTGCATAATGGCCCACGTACCCACACACTGGTCTATAGTCAGCAAATCAGTCCATCTGTGCTCGCAGCAAACTTGTTTATAGAGCCATCCCAAGTCCCACAAATAGAGCATCTGAAACATTCATAAAGGTCCTACTTGTTATTCTATTGACATGAATGCCAAAGCAGTACTTCAGTCAAGCATGGGCAGACGCTGCAGCTATAAACAGCATCTATTCATTAGACATATGAGCCACTCTCGTCAGGTCTCGTGCATGCTCTCATATTTCTATACATATTATTCATATTCTATACCAATTATTGTTCTTGCATTAACTTCTATTGTGATAGAAACGTGTTTGACGTCATGGAGTGCAAATGTGTTTAAAAGCTCTGTTGACCTTATCCTTAGATACACTTTCCCTTATAGGTCATGTTTTATAAGCATGGCCTTCAGACAGTTTCACTAGAGAGACAGGAAGCAATTAGATTATAATGTCATAGCTATGGTTCAATTAAAAGATGTAGCCATGTTTTTTCTTTTTTTTCTTTTTTTGTTATTTTCTTGTATTTATTGTCGTTTGTTTTTCTTTTGTTTTTTGTTGTTCTTACTCTGTTGTCTTTATTCTATGTTCAAATAAACATTCAAACAAACATTAAACATTAATTCAAACGTGTACATTTGAATTAATGTCATTATCTCTTTAAATAATGAAAGTTTTTTTTTTATTTATAATGTAATTCTACTTCTAGAATTAAGAATGTTGGGAAACAAATAAAAGTAAACAATTCACTATGTACTATAAAGAAAAGTTCATCATAAAACGACAACTTTAAATGATGCTCAAACATCATCATCATAATTTAGAGAGTAAAGATGTACTGTTCAAAGTAAGTAAGTAAACCCATCAATACCAGTGGATGTTGGGAATGTAACTAAAGTGTGTGTGTGAATGGTTGGTGGTGGTCGGAGGGGCCGATGGCACAGACTGGTTGCCTCACTTCTGTCAGTGTGCCCCAGGGCAGCTGTGGCTACATTAGAAGTTTATCACCACCGTGTATGGAGTTAATTAATAATGACATGTAAAGCGTCTTTGGGAGTCCAAAAAAGCGCTAAATAAAACTGATGCATTATTATTATTATTATTATTAAAGAACAGACATCACATTCTAATCTGTGTTCTGTACAATGCTACATGTGGAGCATTGATTATATTATGTAGAAGATAAGGTTATACTAAGGTAATTAGAACCTTCCACAATCACAATGCTCTAGCACTGATGTTCTCCTCGCTCTCCTCTCTCTCCTCTCTCTCTCCTCTCTCCTCTCTCTCTGCTCTCTCCTCTCTCTCTCCTCTCTCTCCTCTCTGCTGAAGTCCAGCCTCACTTTCACTTCAGACATGCCTCATATGCAGCACAGGACCAAAAGCTTTAAGTCAACCAAGCAAAAACACAGAAGAACTTCTGTAAGGACGTTTTGGGACTCCATCAACATCCAGAACAATATACTTTTCTACATTGTCAAATAAATATAAAACATTGCTATAAATGGTAAAAAAAATATATATATATCTTCTTCCTCTGACTTCCTTTCAGTTACGCAATTTTTTTTTTGAGGACATTGGATGCAAAAAAAATGCAGTTCAATGAACCCAATTATGGGCATTAGCCAAAAACCGGTACAGTGTAATGAGCAAGTATATGTAACATATAGTGTGCTGAGAAGTCTAGGGAGATAAATAGCTGAATATATGAATACTTTCTTTATCCCCTGTAGGAGAAATTCAGGTGTCCAGCATAAAGGAAAGATCCAATAGACACAAAATGTATCCATGAATAATGACTATTAAAATGTCCAAACAATAGTAATAAAGTGCTCATGATTAGTTCAGACACACTGTTGGATAGTCTAATGTCCAATTTGGCAGCGCAGAGAGAGAAGTGTTACTATGGTTACTGCTATTGTGTCATGCAGAGGGAGTCTCATGTCCTGCATACAAGCCCTCTCTCCATCAAGGCTCCCTACAGATACAGTATTTTTAAGATTGGAAACAGTCCCCTCTTCTCCCTATCACAAAGCATGTTTTCTGATCAGTCTTCTGTCTCTCACGGTTAGAGTGGCACCCCAGCAAACAACCCATAACCGCAAATACAGACTGATACAAGAAATGTGGCATCTCACTGCTCACTTCAAAGGACCTCAGCCTCCTCAAGAAGAGTCTGCTCTTTCTTCTACATGGTCACCCGTTCTGACCAGTCAATGTTCTGTGTTGCTCATGTATGTAATTCAATTTCACTAAATGTTTTGTCTGAATGTGTATGCATCTCTGAGACAAGCATAGGCACAGCTGGCACAGACAGTTATATAAGCTGATGCCTGGTTCCCGGCCAGATGACAGTAGACCTCATATGGCTCACAGCAGTCACTTCACACACTGCAGATGCACACACCACACCCAGTCACTGACGTCACCCGGTCTTACACATCTATCACTGAATGAAACCTCCTCGTCTTTCTTCCAATGTCATTAATTATTTATGTCATTTATATTAATGTCCATGAATTATATATAACTAACACAGTTCTCACTATACTCTCAATAAACAACATGCACACTTACAGCTGACAAGTCAATGTATTTCAAATACTGACGTGTCATTTTGTCATATAGCCAATATTCCTAATAGTTATTCATATGTCTATATAGAAGCTTTAAAAATCTCGAACAGACTTTCAAATTCAAGGTAAAAGCGTCACAATGACACCTGCGTAACACAATCGTCCTGTGACGTCACAGCCGCACGGATCAACATTACAGAGGAGATGTGCGCTCCCGCGACCTCTGAACGGGTTCCTCTGTCCGCGGCCAGCACCAGTAGGAACCCGCGTCAGAGCACGTCCAAGAGGAGAGAGCCTATGGAAACATCTCTGTCCTCATCAATGAAAATCACCTCAAGAGCTGCCGCCTGCAGCCATTCATAACCACCTGGTCCATTCATATTTTTGGAATGGCACGTCAACAAGCATCATATCTCATTAAGTCCAAACGCCCTATAACAAATATAGAGAATTGCATAAAGTTATGATTCTATTTTTGGGCTGTATGGCCTGAAAAATGTAGGAGAATGTCTGCATCCTAATTGAACTGCTTAGGTCTTGCATAACCTGCCAAGCCCATCTGCTGCACTATAGCGCACAAGTGAAATGCCACAGTAACTGTTACTCTATAATACTCACGTGCAGATTAATATAATAATCCATGGATGCAAGTAAAACCACGATAAACCAAGATCAGCTTTTCAATTATATAGCCAACACAAACAAGTTAGTTAAATTGAATGTGAATGGCAAATAGAGGCGCACGGTGATGTTTAAAGCGTTCAGACCGGTTGCAGTAGTGTTGCTTTGTGCACATTGTAGCATGCATAGAGCATTGAGAGGCATATGACCTACTAATTGTGCAGGAGACGGCCAGTCCCTACCTTCCGACGGTTCCAGAATTGACCCACATGCCACTTTGTTGGTAATTTAGCTCGTCCCAAAACCGGACAAAGCCCGAAAAAGCAAGAGAAAGATAATAGCTCGTGTTGGTTTTGGTCACAGAGCAGGTTAAAGCTGCAAACGCTGTGCAAGGAACCTTGTCTGCCCGCGCATCTTCTTCTGTCAATGGAATGTCCTGTTCAGCGCTATCTAGACTTCGTATGCTTTAAGAAACGATAATTTATCGCAGGCTAAGTTTTATAGATTCATAGATATATTTGGGGCTCGGACGTGGTCTAGCCTGAGCCACCCCTTTTGTTGTTGTTTCCCCAGCTGATTCCTGCAAAGACACGCCTCCAAGACTGCGCGTCACGACACAAGGCCGTCTGCTTTCCATGTGCTGCGTTCATGAACGGTCAGAAAACGACACAGTCAAAAAGATGGACTGATTGTAAAGGGGAAAAAATCACAAAAGTCAGTGGCAGCTTTAGACACAGGTGGGAAGACGTTCAAGTCCTGACACAACGTCCATAAATAGCAAGATTTGTTTTAAAGATCATTACAAACTCCATTC